GGCAGGTTAGCGCCGCAGGCCAAGGTAGGTGTACACTGTGAAAATTTTAGTCGTCATTTTGACGACAATTCCAAGGCTAATTTTCCTTACAAGGATGTCGTCACAATCTTTGAACGAGACTGTCATCAAGTGACGAGACATTCATCAATTTGATCAAAATGACCAAAACCCTGACAATTATGAATGATTCATAACTTTACGACAAATGATGAAAGGCTCGTCACTTTTGACAAAATCAACCAGAACCCGCAAAAGATGACTCCACTCGTCAAAGTTCGTCAAATGACGAAAGGCTCATGATTCTCGACGAAACCTCCCAGAACCTGCTCCGAATGAATTCACTCGTCAGAAATCATCAATTGACGAAAAGCTCATGATTCTCGACAAAACCTCCCAGAACCTGCTCGGAATGAATTCACTCGTCAGAAATCGTTAATTGATGAAAGGTTCAAGAGTTTTAAAGATACCCGCAAGAACCTCACGAGGATGAATAACATCGTCCTTGTCCACCAATTTACAAAAACACCTTAAATTTGATTTCAAAAGTATAATTGCATTTTACATTTAGCCTAAACCACATGAAACATTCAGTTGATAGTTACAATACTTTCAGGCTTCAGTTTGAACTAGCACAAAAAAAAAACCTTTATCAAATGAATCAGACAGACTCTAACTCTTTTAGTTTGGTTGGAAGCGCAAATGTTTGAGATTCACCACAATTCACGACACTACATTGCACTTCTATTCTTGCTGTTTCAGTTTCCAATAATGCTGGCTTAGCTGCTTAGCTGCTGATGAAGACGATGCTGGCAATTCCCCTGTGCTTGCTTCTGATTCACCCCTGCATGGCTTCACGCTGCTACACTCCGCTTGCTTTGGATACTTCTTCCTGCCGCCACCTGAGCCGAACTGGATTGGCATGTATCGTGTTCTTAACATCTGTAACAGACAAACAAGTTTAGCTTCAAGCTTAGCAGTACATAAAATAAAGTGAACAAAAAAACCCTCTAAATGTTAATTAATGTCATTACAAACCTTGTTTTCTTGTTGGTGTAACAACTGTTGTGGTTCATGAAAGAAGGGATATGTAGCACAAATATTTAAGAAAGTAATGACACAGCTGATGAGATTCTCTTGATCTTGATGCAGAAAGGAAAACATCATACATCTGTCCTTTTGAAATCTACAAACAAGTTAAAGAAAGAAATCATTAAATTTAAATACAAAGTCTACAATAATAGCAGATTGACAGCAACAAATGATGCTTATTAATTAATTATCAGACATACCTTGTAAATGGTGCCAAAGCAGCATGAACACAAGAATGAACTATCTTGATTCAAATTCTTGCCTGATTGAGATATTTCAAGTACAGTAACCTTCAAGAACAAAGACAAAGAAAAAGAATATTATTGTTAGAATAAAGCACCTAAAACTAACAAAGCCAGAAGAAAAGCAAAAAAAATGCACTTACTATAAATTTTGTAGAATGTTTAAAGAAAAAGAAGAAAACATTGTCCTTTCCCTTTAGCTTGTTTCCAATTCTTTTCTGCATCACTCCACCTTACTAAACTTCTTTTCCTTCAACCAAAATCTTGCTAGCAAGATACAACTGCAGTGCAGTAACCTTTGGGGAAATAAAAACAACAACAATGATAAAATGATGCCCATGATGCATTAAAAGAAAAACAAAACAAACCCAGAGAGAAAAATAACAAAGAATTCACTTTACCTTAAACTTTGAAGAAATTTTCAAGAAAATAAACTCAAAGCTTTATCATTCTCCTGTGCTTGCTTCTGTTTCCCCCCTGCATGGCTTCACGCTGCTACACTCCGCTTGCTTTCAATACTTCTTCCTGCCACCACCTGAGCCGAACTGGATTGGCATGTATCGTGTTCCTAACACCTGTAACAGACAATTAAGTTTAGCTTCAAGCTTAGCAGTACATAAAATAAAGTGAACAAAAAAACCCTCTAAATGTTAATTAATGTCATTACAAACCTTGTTTTCTTGTTGGTGTACCAACTGTTGTGGTTCATGGAAGAAGGGATACGTAGCACAAATATTTAAGAAAGTAATGACACAGCTGATGAGATTCTCTTGATCTTGATGCAGAAAGGAAAACATCATACATCTGTCCTTTTGAAATCTACAAACAAATTAAAGAAAGAAATCATTAAATCATTATATAAAGCACCTAAAACTAACAAAGAAAGAAGAAAAGCAAACAAAAAGGCACTTACCATAAATTTTGTAGCATGTTTAAAGAAAATGAAGAAAACATTGTCCTTTTCCATTTAGCTTGCTTAGATTCTTCTCTGCATCACTCCACCTTACTAAACTTCTTTTCCTTCAACCAAAATCTTGCTAGCAAGATACAACTGCAGTGCAGTAACCTTTGGGGAAAAAAAAAACAACAGCAATGATAAAATGATGCCCATAATGCATGCAAAGAAAAACAAAACTAACCCAGAAAGAAAACTAACAAAGAATTCACTTCACCTTAATTTTTTTAGAAATTGTCAAGAAAATAATGTCAAAGCTTAGTCGTTCTCTGCACACTGCTGGGCTCCCATTTCTTGGGATGATTCTTACTGCCGCCAGCTGAGTCAAACTAGATCGGAATGTTGGCACATCGTTAACATCTGTAACAGACAACAAGTTTAGCTGGCAGTAAAGAAAATAAAGTGGCAAACAGGCTTCAATGTTTTTATGTATTTCATTACCAACCTTGATTTCCTGTTGGTATCCCAAATGTTGTAACTCATATAATTTAAAAGAAATTTTGAAGGTAATTAAGGCTAGAATTAAATCACTTTGACATGGAAAACCACATTCTTTCATCTGCAACACGAGAAAATGCTAAGTTAGTAAAAGTAAATTAAGAACGACTTAATACGTTAAATCAAAGTATGAAGGGATTACAAATTACCTTTAATTTGCAGAAACAGAGTCTAACAAAGTGTGTTTCAATGAAAAGCACCTCTCATTACTGCCCCATTCATAAATACTTTGGGGTAAAGGGTACTTGATTTCATCCCTGTGGAGGCAAGTCAATCCAATACTGTCATTGATAATGTAAATGCCGATGTGAGGCTGATATGTTGAAATGTGTCTCATCAAAGTAAAGTACACAGAGTTGCCATCCAGTATTACAGAGGTAATCAAGCCAATTTCAATTTCATTGTCACTGTAGTTCTTCAGAAGTAACCACTGCCCTTTTTTAAAAAGGAGACCATCCACTTCAATTTTTTCCATTACCAAAGCCATATTGGAAATATTTCTTGAGTCAAGAACTGACTGAAATTCTTCATTTGGCTCATAGGCTCTCTGCATAGTAACTGAGACACCACAGTCTAAAATTTTAATTCCTTTCACAAATGGTGAACTGGCAGACAAATAAGCAAGGTACAGGCAGTACTTTTTTGCAAGACTTAAACCAAGATTGATAAAATTCTTCCCAGCTTTGGCAGCGTTCTTGAAAAATTGATGAAATTGCTCAAATCCTAGGCCACTTAAATGCATTAAAGGCCCAAGGAGAGAAGTTAGATCGGCCATGTGAGCCCAATAATGATGTTTAGGTTTGCCATCTCCTAAAAGGATCTTCCTTGCCTCTCTATAATCCTCAAGCATAGCTTTGAGACGACCGAGCTGAAATAGACTGTTGGATGGGGCACAAACACTTTCTGTGATCTCTTTAAGCAACAAGTACAACTTCCAGTACGGGTCATTGTGGTCCTTGATAAGCTCTTCATCCAATATGAATGGAAGTAATCGCAGCAAAGTCCAGTTTTGGACAGCATGCCCTCCTAGGGATGGATCTTTCTTCTCTATCGGTTTTGATTTATCTTTCTTCGTTTCAAACTTAACAGGAGCGGGCCTGTTACCAGAGTCATGACCTTGCAATTTATAAGTCCGTATCTTGCGATTCAGTTGCTGGTAGGTAAACCATTTCTTCTTCAGCACCAAATGCTGGATGATCAACGACAAATCAAAATTTATGACACCTTCAAACAGATCATGTGCAATGCACGGAGCCAAGCTTGGGTCACAGACATGAAAGTCTTCGAGCTTGTTGAAAGGACACAGCCACTCAGGTCGGGAAACACCCATATATGTAGCTCTGTCTGCTGGCACTAAGTGGGCAGCTTCTTCATAACTCTGAGCAGTTCTGAGCGGACCTACCTTCCAAGGTTCCGCATTAATTTCAGTCTTAGTCATGGTGCAGTATCTGCAAAAATATTCAGAACTGAACGATTGGATGAATCCACCGATTTCATGCTGTCCTTTATTGTCACCTAAAAGGAACCTGAGACGCACTTTAACTTGTTCACCCATGAACATTATTCCTGTCTTTTGAAGTTTCAAGAGTTCTTTAACAACAACTTCGAATATACCAAGCTTAAAATCAGTAAACATTGCCCTAGAATCAGGCACCAACATAATCAATCGTTTGGAGTCCAGCTTAGCTCTGATATGGGAAGGAAGATTACCAACAGTGTAATACATGCCCAAAATTTTGTAAAGCTTAGCAACTGAAGATAAATCTTTTGTTGGAGCAAATTCATCTGTAAATATATGCAAATCAATAGATTTTTCTGGTCTTTTCCTTTTTCTTTCCTTGTGCACCAATCCGTCTTGATAGTCCTCAAAAATTCCCTCCTTACTCTCTCTAGAAAAACTTGCATTGACTTCTTTTTGAACTTCAGCACTGCTTAAGTAGAGGCCAAGTGTCTTCTTGATTTTACAATAATAAATGCATCGTGGTTCGTGGGGATCTTTTGAAAGGTTAATTGGTTTGGGCTTGATGTAATGAAAATGAGAAAGATAATATGACTTTCTTAAAGCGTTTGTAGTCATAGTAGGTCCAGCAACATCTTTATGGTGAACAGCAAACATCTTATCTGCTTTCAAAATGGAGTTCACCTTTCTTTCTTTTTCATCCTGAGACAAATCCAAGTCTTCAAATTCTTTTAATATGGCTTCTCTCATAATGGACAAATTAGTTGCTGTGAGATGAGCTAATGCACTGGTAATAACATTAATGGTGGAAACAGGAACCAGATGCAGAGATTCCAATCTTAAGTATAACAATGCAACATTCAGGTAGAATTCCTCAGTCCATTGATTGACTTTCTCTTCATAAGGATCACATTGGGGAATATCTTCCATGTTATTGACAGGAACAGAATCAATAACCTCATTAGTATCTATTACCTCATTAGTATCTATTACCTCATTAGTAGAAGTGTCCATGTCCACATCATCATTAATTTCCAAGTTTTGATAGTTGAAGGTGCAGTTAGAAGCGCTTTGATAAGAATTCGAGGTGCTGTTCCATCCTTTATGATGTTGGGAGAGGTGGACAGAAAAAGTTTGTTTGGTAAAAAAATTTTTACTCTTGCATACTTCTTTGAAGGGACACTGTGTCTTTACTCCTTTTTCTTGATGGTCCTTCTTTAAATGCTGGCACAGAAGCTTAGTTGATGGAAATAATTTATCACAGTCACTCACAATACAACCTTGCGGAGTGTACTCTGCCTGAGGCTGGTTGCGTGCATCAGCATGATAATAATGCACATGAAGATCAAGAGCAGTGAAGGACCCAAACTGCAAGTTACATGCCGGACACGTGAACTGAAAATGCTTCTCTAAGGCATGACACTTCTGATGTAGAACATACTCATTGATGGTACCAAATTCTGGCTTTGTACAGCAACGTGAACACTGGAACTTGGGGCCAGGGTTGACCTCAACACCACCAATAGAAAGAATAGCATGTATTGTCAAAAGGCTCAGAACAATAAAGCATAACGGGAAATAAAAGTTTCCACCGCTAGCCGTTGAACATCGGAGCTTGAAGCCAGCACTGTATGAGCCAATTCTTGACCTCCATGTTTGAGTATCCACACCCATGATTTGCAGATGTTAACCGGTTAACCTGAAAATCATAACACACATAAGGGGAGTTCTACCAGAGCATCTAATAGAGCTAATACAAAACTTACTTTTTCATTCAGCTGATTGGGTCATCAAAATACAGATTGATACCGGTAATCTGAACAATCAGAGCAGAGGAGAGTAACGTGAACCACAAAAATGGCTTGCTCACTAATGTCTGTAAGATTTTAAAGGAAAACACAAAATAATTAAAAACAAAGTAAGACAGAGTTAATAACACATGAGTGATAGTTGCCAGTTAACAGAACATACCCACAGGTTAAAATATTCAAAAAGATTTAAGCAGAATGAATTCAAAGTGGAACAGAGTCCCAAAGCTCCAATTTGACGCAATCATTCACAGAACCAAAACCTGGAAAAGAAAGAAAATTAAAATATACTAATAAGCGACACGATGTTTACTTTGTTTTCAAACCATGAAAGAACTTGCCATCAGAGTGGACTTCGGAATGAGTTGGAAGCCAGCCTCGTGAATGATAGTCCAAACAAGTATAAATCGAAGAAATATTGAATAAGAAATCAACAGGATAGATGATAAATCCAAAGCAGCATAAAAAGTACCCAATACTTCAACTTGATGTTATCCATCAGACACCTAAGGCCAAGAAAATAAAAATTGTTACAGAAGCAAAACAAAGTTTACAGGTTTATTATGGTTATCTTCCCATTAAAATACTAACCTGTAGAGCAGACATTGCAAGATGGGTATCGTTCGAAGTCCAGAGAATGGTATGAATAATCCCTCAATAAGCTACCTGTGAAACAAACCAAAAACAAACAAAATCAAGCTGAGTCGAGCAAAGGATATCTTGGGCAGTCTCACAACTTTGCAGCATCAAAAAGCTTGGGGAGAACTCGATAAGTTTTCGAGGAGCGCCAAGACAAATAAAATTGACTGCAATGAAGGGACAAAGAACCAAAGAGAGAAAGGTAAAGAGACACGCCAATAGAATCTACAGGTTAACCGCGAAAGGCACCGCGAAGCAGACTGATATTGACAAGAGGTCACGGCAATCAGACTGACAACATAGCCAAAAATACAACCGAAACTTGATCTATTTTAACGACCTAGAAGCAGTACTAAGTATGAACCACTTCAAAGTGAAATGCGGCACAAGGATTGTAAGTTGCACTCGAGACCAAATAAACGCCTCTACAAGCCTCAGTTTCAACAAACAAAAGTCATTTTCACATTGAAGAAACGCCATTTTGAAAGGGACGTTTTGATTGGCTGGTGGCCGAAGCACCGTAGTCCCATTTTCCGGCCTTCCCTTTAACAAATTATATGAAACATGATAATAATTTAAGTATTTTCCGAAAAGCGAAAGCCTTTTAAAAAATTTCAAATTTTAAAATCAATTATGTTGACTGAAGGAGAAGGATTGACGTCGTTTCAAGCCGTTCTACGTAAGATTGACGTCAGCTGATAAAAGCTCAGCGTCTATTGGCTGGCCGTTGACAGCTGACGATCGTTCTCAACACCTCACCATTTCCAGTTCCAGTTTTCAAACACGTCTCGGTTCAGTTTCGCTTTTTGAAGTATAAAGTTAGTTTAAAGTAAGTGAAAACCTTAGAATACGTGAAGAATCGTTTAGAAACAGGATTGAAGTATAACTCTTTTCTAATTCAGGTAACCACTAGCCCGGAATAGTCCAAGATGAGTGAAAGAGAGGACGTTGTGGCGGAAGACCGTTGCTTTCTCAAGAACAGTCTGACGGCCTGTCTAAAGAGGCTCGATGAAAGTAAGATTGATGAGCTGGTACAAAGTATGCTAGATGATGGAATCAACAAAGACAGTGTGGAATTTGTGGAAGCAGCTAACCTCGAGTTGCTTGGCTTTGACAAATATCAAGCAAAAGCTGTGATTCAACACTGGGAGAAGTCTAAGGGAGCTGAGGGTACAGGTATGTCACCTTGCTATACACCGCCATTCTTAATTTTAACTGTAACCAAAAATAAAGAAGTTTTCTGTCTATTCCAGTTGATCCTTTGCAAGCTCGCCAGACCAATACATTTAATTTGGATCCACAACCTGGAACTTCCAGAAGTTTTCAAGAGAATCCAGCAGGAAAAAGTTTTATTGATGTTTCCAATTTCCAGTTAAACTGGGACCTGATCTACCGGCAGACATACAAAGGCATCAAAGCTGGAGATATCATAAAGAATAAGGGCTGCTTCGAGCCAAAACACAGAGCAAATGTAGCTCATGAAATAATACGCCAGGCTATTGATGCCAATGTTTCAAATTTGTCAAGAGATACTATAGAAAAAATTTACTATGGGCCTGTGCTGAGGAAGCACGAAGATGCTTTCAAGACTGAGCTGGCAAGCGGAGAGAAAAGTTCAGGTGGTTTCTTACATGTACTGAAGTATTGCTTTGATAATCAGAAGAGGCCAGACAGAAATAGGCACCTGCAGCCACAAGATTTCTTGACAAAGCAGTATGAGCAGCCAAGAGGAAAGTTTTCTTATTGCTGTGTGAGGTGGAGGGCGAAGGATGACATTCCAGACCAGACTCCTGAAACAGTGAAAGAGCAACAAGAAAAAATGAAGAAGGAATTTGTAGAAACAAGGCCAAAATTTTGGGATTGGACCAAGTTGTCTGATATGATTAAAAACTGTTACAAAGCCCAAAGAGAAATGATAAATAAGAACATTTCTGATGCTTTACAGGAACAGAAGAAACAACTGGCACAGAAAAGAAAGCGATCATCTAAAGAAACTGAACGCCGCAATGAAGAGGCTGAGGACGAAGTTGGGCTGGAGCCAGCAGTAACAATAAGTCAAGTTGCTGATGAGTGGCCTTTTTTGTTTTCATACCACGGAATGCTTATTCATTTTGAAATACTGACTGGTGTTGAGTTAGAGAAAGAACTTCAAACTTGCAAACAGAGTCTTAAGTGGGAAGTTTTGCTTGACTTTTTCAAGACTACAAAAGATGATGATGGATTCTACAGTGAGGTTTGTAGAAAATTGGAAAAACACAAACAGAAAAAGCCTGATGGTGACGATGAATTTAGAGCAATTATTTTGATGATTACAAAATATTTCAATGAAAGTAGCTTTGTGGAAATTGTAGAGGTAAGTTTCCACTTTTGAAAATTCTGTTTTTGCAGTTCATAAAGCTTTTAATATTTATTCAAATCTTATACTAGGAAACTGTGACCTTGGAAGTACTCAACAGTACACACACAGCACCGCAGTACCCTTCTCTGACAGCCCCAGGTATGCTTGGAATCTAGTAAGAAATTTAATCTAATCTTTACCACCTAATACAAACCTTTTCCTCTTTCTTTTCTATGGCAGGAAAGGATGGCTGCATCTTCAAGGCCAAGAAATTCTTTCTTGGGGTTGATTCGGAGTTCCATTATTCTTTCCCAAATTTTGAAAGAGCAGCTTGTTGTGTATTTATGATGTATTTTGTGTTCAATCTGGACTACGCTCCTGAATCACAAATTTCACTGGAGTTCCTGCAGAGGTTAGCTTGAAATAAAACAATAGTCATTCAAAACAGATTCATGACAGCTACTTATGAAAGAAATTTTAAATCTTAATACATCTTGTAATTCTAGGTACATATTCGGTATGGACCCGCCTCAAGGCAACAAGAGGCCAGTACGGGAACGGCACCAGAAAACCAAGATCAGATATTCTACCAAAGTTGTCCACGATGATGTTGCAAGGCTCATCTCCAAGCTTAAAGTCCTGCGCAACCAGAAGGAAAAGGAAAACAACCCAACTCAAAGTGAAGAGTCTTCCTCTGCTTCTTCTCAAGAACCTGAAACAGATTAGAGAGAGATTAGCATAATGAATAGTCCAGGCAAGACATAGGAGATTTTGTGTCTATTTGATGATAAATGTAATAGTTTAATTACAAAAGTAATGAAAATTAAATTAATTGAATCATAAATGATCTGAATAGAGAGAGGTTGGAATAATGAATAGTCCAGGCAAGACATAGGAGATTTTATCTCTATTTGATGATAAATCTAATTGTTTAAATACCAAAGTAATGAAAATAAAATGAATTGAATCATAAATGCTCTGAATAGAGAGAGGTTGGAATAATGAATAGTCCAGGCAAGACATAGGAGGAGATTTTATCTCTATTTGATGATAAATCTAATTGTTTTAATACCAAAGTAATGAAAATAAAATGAATTGAGTCATAAATGGTCATGTTCTTTACCTGGTGTGGTTGTGGTGAAGATAGAAGCACTGGCCGTGCAACAGGTGCTACTGATCGAAAATGTTTTGAGATTACGTTCTTGAAAGTATTCATAATGTGCTGAGGAACAAAGCCAGCTGCAAGATGCTAGCAAATTGGAAAAAATACTTAAAAGACTAGACTGTCGATGCTGCTAACCTGTCTGTGTTTGTTTACTTGAGCAGAACAGCAGCAGCAGCGGGCGAAGGGTGGAGGGGCGGTGGGGGCGGGGAGGCGGAGTTTGCTTATTGGCAGTGCACACCCATTAAATGCACCACAGGCTCAGCTGTGAGAGTGGCGGCAGACGACGGACAGAACGAAAAGCATAGAAAGAAACAAGATTTTTGGCAAGAGATTCTGTCTTTTTTACGTAGTTATTGATAACAAACCACTCCTAAGGCTGCACGATAAAGTGAGTACGAGTAAATTGGAATGCAATCAGATGATGAGTGTTACTCTTCTTCCTGATGTTAGAAAACAAACTTCAAACCGTGGGTTGATAGATCAGGATAGAATTGTTGGGGCAGGTTAGTTTGTAGAGGTGCACAATGGTCGGGTTTAAAAAATAATAACATAACCTGCATATGACAACTTTGTGTTGGTTGATTTATGTAGTGATTCTGGTAACATAGTTTTTATTTAACTTTGCACTCCAGCTCAGTCAAAGTGAGCAAGAAGATAAGGGTTTGGAGGCTGCTGCTCAATCACATTCTTGTCTGTTGATTAAATTAAGTCCAGTTTTGATGAACCTTTAACCATTGTTCATCATTCTGGTTAAAGAATCGTCTCTTGCATTGAGCTTTAGTTCCATTTTTTATTTTAGTCACTTTGATGATTGCCTTGTCATCTTGATGACAATTTGTCGTATTGCATTGAAATAATTCGTTCTCTATTTGCACATGATGAGTATTTTGTCATCTTAACGACAATTTGTCGCAATACATTGAAACGATTTACTCGTTACTGATCGTCAACCATCGTCATTTGGGTTGGAGCTAGTCTCCATGTTTCCTCGTTACCATTTGATGATTGTCTCATCATCTTGACGACAATCTCTCACAAAAATATCCTAATGGTTGAGTCGTCACTGATCATCAAGCATCGTCATTACTGTTAGAGTACCCCTCACCTTTCATCGTCCCCATTTGATGATTATCTCATCATTTTGACGACAGTTTATCATCAATTTTTCAAAGCGACATTGTCGTCAAGGATTTTGTCGTAAAGTGACGACAAATTTTTACAGTGCATGACCACCCCCCTCGCTCTCGGGAACTACTTTGCCGACGGCAACCGGTCGACCGGACTTTCGAGAGAATAGAATTCTAACTATTTTCAGCCAGAGCCCTACCTTCTAGCTTCAAGGGTACGACCATAGCACCTCGCCAAAATTTTTGTTACAGCGTTTTGGCTAAATTGGGCGTTTTTCAAATCTGGGATATTTTTTCTCACTCTCACATTTGAGAAGATAGGTTCGATATCTTAGGTTTTCCTCAAAATGTCGGCTCTTCGGCAAAATATCCAACATCACATTTAATTCTAAGTAGTTGTTTGCTTGCTCGGGGAGCCTTAGAGTCGTAAACTGCACTGTGGGGCACCATGACCACTTTTAGTGGGGCACCATGACCACACATATTTGAGTGTTTTTCTCATATTTTGGCCTGATAATGATTTATTTTCGTCGAAAATTTGCTTTTTGCTTCTGAAAATGTATAAAGGTTGAATAATTGCTGCAGAATAGATAGTTTTATCACAAATTTGTGATAATTTGTGAATCACCAAGATGATTAAGAATGGTTCTGAAACTGAGACTTGATATGGTGGTTTCTCTTGCACTAAATGAGCTCCAAACCGCAAAAGTTGGCCGCGAAGGCGATCCGTGGCTACTTTGCACCAAGATGGCTCTGGCATTATGAGAAACAGCATTTAATTCACTTGTTTGCAGTGTAGTAACCGCGATAATTTTCTTAAAATTTACCAAATTGAAATCTGCATACGAATTTGGACTCGTCTTAGCAAGACGAACATAAAATGTTAACACATGTCATAGCTTTGGATGTGAAATTTGAAAGCCTTAGAGCGTTAACTGTTTTAAACCGTCCATTTCAAGGCATCTTAGAACGTTTGATACTTCGAAGGTTTTTACAGTGTTTTTTAGTTAAGTTGACTGGCCTGATGGTAATGACAGCGATATAAACAATTTCAATGAGAATACTGGTAGAAAGTACACTTTTTTGGGCCAAAAAATTACTATGGTTATGGTGCCCCACGGGGTGGTCATGGTGCCCCATAGGTGGGGCACCATGACCACTTTGCGTTTTATTTTCCAAAGTGTTCTGTGAGCCTGCCGTGCATTGCAGACAAGTTCCAATGGGTGGAAGAGGTCCTTGGAGGTCCAAAGAATCCCCTCATGCTAGAAACTTAACTGTTCGAACCACACGGTGGAGTAGAGGGAGGCACAAAAAAAAAGTGGTCATGGTGCCCCACCCTCCCTTATGGCTATTAATGCCGCCCAAAGAAACTAACAAGCTAGGGCCCGCCCTTCCGTCGAACCGAGTTGCCAGCTCCGCTTCGCTGCGCCGGCAACTCGGTTCGACAGGGGGCCGGCCCAGCTTGGCCTGCCGGCGGCCTTTTCTCGGGCCTTCGGCCCTCGCATCAGACCCAACTTGGCCAGTCGAAGGCCGGGCCTTCGGCCCGCTCGCATCACACACACCGTGAACGGGTAAAGCAAAGTTATCGATGTACCATCGTGACTTAGGCCCACCCTTCTATTCACAATATGCAATAGTCCTTACACTTTTTACTCCAACTGTCCTTAGAATATGCCCATTTCATTTGTCTCTTCGCCCTCATTCCGAAAATACCCATATTTGCCATGCTACTGCAACTCCTTGCAACAGAGGCACAGCAGGAGCGCAAAACGAGTCCGTCGCACTTTTTCCCATAACTCATGAAGGTGGGCTCCTGGACCCCCCCTTTCCCACCCCTCGTTGAAGAAGTCTTGCCAAGACCTATCGAAAACTTAAGTAAAAATTTTCAGTCGGTCGACCCCCTTTTTTCAAGATCCTGATGTGACTAATAGACGAAGTCGGGCTCCTGGACCCCCCTTTTCCCACCCCTCGTTGAAAAGGTCTTGCTGAGACCAATCGAAATCTGCAATAAACTTTTTTAGTCGGTCGACCCCCTTTTTTGAAGATCCTGATCTGGCCAACTTGTAAAAGCGGCCGATGGGGTCGGGACCAGGTCCGTTCATCTTGTCTCGTCGCCCCGATTCCAAAAATACCCCTATGTGCCCTGCTAGCACCAATAATGGCGGAAATCCCCCTCCCGCTCATGTAAACCATGATGCACCTGCAGCAGCCCTTGTGCGACCCGGACGGGATTTGCACCACCGGATTATTTGTTTGGACGGTACTCCTGAAGTACCCTCCAAATCTGGTTACTCTAGCTCAACTCCTTCCTTGTACACAGACGCCAACAACAACAACACACAGACACAAGGGCAAATGCATAGGCTTTCCCCCTATTTTTTGAATAGAAGGGCGGGCCAAAAACCTACGATTTTTGTGCCGCCTTCCACTGAATACCGTGAAACGGGGTAACTTCGGACACTTTTGATAGGTTTTTTTGAAATTGTGAAAGTCGTGGTGCTGTCATGGACTTGAGGGTTAAAATTTATCATCTACCAACCTTAAGCTTCGATTTGGCGCTTATTTCAAATATCTGCACCTCACATTGTTTACAGTGGAGGGTCCGAAGCAGTGTCCGAAATTACCCCGTGTTTTGGGGTAATTTCGGACACCCCTGGAAAAAACGACTTTTCGTTCTGATTTTCGTCCCAAAATGGATCACTGTCTCTTTCTAAAGTGCTAATATGATTATATGAGAAATTCGTAAGGGTTTAGATGCAAAGGTAAGGTAGGGGTGGTCATTCATACATAATTTGAAGGCATGTTTTTGCACTCATAAGTAGTTCGATTTCAGGAATAGTGGGTGGAACTAGTAGAGCCATTTAGAACGCTTCTATTTTTTAATCTTTGACCGATAAGCTTTCTTAGGCAACTCGGGCCATACTTTATTACGCGAAAGTGAATCTTAAATCTCCCTCTACAAGATTACAAACGATCACATACATGCATATGAAGGGCAAGTAGTGTCTTATGTACGGTTAGGAAGATACAGGGGCTCAGTGGAAAGCTTTGCATTTCAATTGTACCGGCGAGCTATGCAACCATTCGCCAAGTCCAACTCTCATGTCACATGAAAGAAAATTAATCACAAAACAGTCGCTGACACTAACGTAGGATATAGACATAAAACTAAATATTTAAGATGTAGCTTTGCCCAATTTTTATGAAATTTGAAGTTTACAAAGCAACCGCTGTGACAATTGGGGAATATCGTTGTTATTGGATTATCTTCAACTTTCAGAAGAGCTCTTCAGCTTACGCCACTCAAACCCTGCGAAATTGGAAGTGTTCAGGGCATACCAAATCTCCCTGACGTGACGTTTGTATGTCCGAAATTACCCCGTAAAGTAACATTTTTTCAGTTTTGAGCCCATATAAACCATACTATTTGACCCAGGTGATTGAAAATTTGACACAGTATGCTCTTAACATGATCAAATCGAAAAACAATCACATCATGAACCGGCCATGAACAGTTTCGGCTTGCCAGTCAAAGTTTTAACGCATAAAGTTAATTTAGGTAAAAATGGTTAAATACAAAAACCACTCTTTCTCCTAAAGTTTGCCCCTGATTTGGCCTCCAGGTGATTGATCAGATGGTTTTAAGTGTGGCTGATGCGATGCGCGCAACGGGACAAGCCTCCAAGTTGGCCGTTAGATGGGAGCGTCATCGCCATGCTTCCGGGCAGAGTTGTCCGAAATTACACCCAGTGTCCGAAATTACCCCGTTTCACGGTAGGCTGCAGCAAAGTCATTTGTTGGCCAAAATACAATCCAAGACCGGTTTTGGAATCGCCAGAAAGTGTTCTAGACGAACCCGTGCTCAGTTTTTTTAGGGGGACAATGAAAGGCACAAATTAATTACAAAGTCCACTATATTTAAAGGCAAATTGACAGAAAAATGAAAACTTCGACTTTCGAGCCTTCCTGAGGAGAAATGAAGCTCTCTATCGGGAAACCGATGCTGGATTCGAATTCTGTATAGTTTTTTGAATAACCTAGGGGAAATTTTGATCACTGACTTAAGTTTTCACATTTGGACTTTTTCGCGTCGAAAGTGGTGTTTCCGCCCACTGTGCGTTGTACTCCAGCCTTCCATACTGACAACGATATAAAATCAACAACAAGCTTACCTGACACCGAGACACAAGGTGATTTGCATGTTGTTCCCGCGCAGGCTTTTGGCGCTGTCGAGGCCATGTCCGACCGTCTTTGTATCGCATCCAAGGGCAAGAAAAAAGTGCACATCTCCGCTGAGGACTTGGTTTCCTGCTGCACTGGGTGCGGCAATGGCTGCAATGGCGGCTATCCGGATTCCGCCTGGAACTATTGGGTGGAATCCGGCCTCGTGTCCGGCGGAAACTACAACTCCAACGAGGTAAGTAAAGATTGTTAAGGCCAATGCAACGCTTCATTGCACAACTCCAGGTCGGGCCAGGTACGACAAGGTAGGTGTACGCCAGACCGTGGCTTGTAACAGGCTTGGTAGTTCGTGGATGACGAATTATTTTCTTTGTCAGCGTACGTATGTTAAAAATAACTTGTCATGGCAGTTTTGCAGTGTTGCCTTAAATAGTTTGGCAGGACATCAGAGTGTAACTTGGAAACAGACACGGTAAGAACGGTTCCTGGTTTTCTCAGGAACTCCCTGGAAATCACCTATGCCTTCCCCCTTGGCTTCCTGGGAAAACCAGGTTCCGTTTTTACCGTGCAGTTTCTACCCGCTTGGCTGCGGTGTCCAGGCTTGAGTGTAACCTGTTCTTGGAGTGAATAAGCAAGTGACGCGGGTGTCGCAGGGCTGCCGACCTTACTCCATCGCTGCCTGCGAGCACCACGTCAACGGCTCGCGCCCGGCCTGCGGTGGCGAGGAAGGCGACACCCCCGCGTGCACCAGGCAGTGCGAGGCCTCTTACAACAAGGACTACGACAGCGACCGCGTCTTCGGTGAGTGAGCCTCGCGGCTCATCATCTCCATAGGCCTCCGGCTGAAAGAAATCCATTTAAGGGGGGACTCGGCGAAACTTATTGAAGCGTTTGGAAGAAATCTTGCGTCTTTCATTGGTATGGAAATTCTTAAATTATTTTTTATAGGTTATCCTTCAGACAAATACAAAAAATTTTGGTAAGGAAATTTTCAAATATGTCACTTGTTTCAAGATAAAATTTTAACATTTCAATTATTTTAAAATGTATTGTTTTTTTGCCTTTTTGGAACATTTTTGTGTCTGAGGACAAAAGCAGAGCACATATTGAGAAATCCTTATTAAAATTTTTCGACAAATCATCAAAGAATATACTCCATGCAAGACTTTCTACACTGTTAAAAAAAGTCTGAAAATTCAGACCAATTTTTTCAGACCTAGTGGTCTGAATCTGAAATTCAGACTTGAGTCAGAATTTTCAGACAGTTGGTCTTAATTTTACACCTTGTGGTCTGAAAAATGAGTTTCGGACTCAAGGGTCTGAATATTTGGATGGCGCGGTATAAATTTTCGGCGTCGGGGTCTTAAAACAGTCATTTGTAGTAGAAGGTCTGAATTTTCATCCTGCGCAGTCTGAAATTGACGCTTTTTTTTCTGATAAAAGGCATGTCTGCGTTTCAGGTGCTATGGACCCTGAATTGCTAGAGCAGTAGTAAATAAACTTTTGCTCAGCTAAGCGAACGGCCGTCTAGTGTTGAGTTTAAAATCAGCATGCACTCCGCTGGTAGCTGCAGGATGCGACATGTTTGCCCTGGTTCCGGCCTGGACCGAAGCCCGGGTCACCCGAGCCGAGCCGCTCCGGCGGCGGCCAGTCGAGCCAGGCACACCGAGCCGAGCCGAGCCGTTCGGAAAATCACCGCTGGCCGGCGTGCCGGCCGAAGCCTACCTGCGCGGGGCGGGGGGAGAGGAGGGGGCCCTTAATCCCCCGGCCACTCGGGATTTCTGGACAGAATGCGTCAGTTTTAGCTTGTCTCCAGAGCAGTGCACATCGCATCCGAATACAAGTCCGCGTCGCGTGTCATCTTTCTTGTGACGCTCCGTCGTGAAGCAACGTTTTATGTGTTACATCGGCGCTCCGCGCAGTGCGCCATTTTGCCTTCGCCTTTCCGTGCTCTGCTTCTGGGTGCGTGCAGTCACCACCCTGAAGCATCCGCAATCCGTGGCCAGCAGGCTGTGAAAGTGGCGTAGCCTTATACTGATATTGCGTCTTCCAAACTAAGGGACGGGTGATCAGGCGCGGCTCCAGGGGGGGGGGGTTTGGGGGTCGCGACCCCCCCCCCCGGGCTGAGCCGAAGCGCGATTTCGACGCCCGGAGGGCGTCGAAATCGCGCTTCGGCCTGCCTCATCGAGGTTTTTGACATCAGGAGTGACCAGCGACCCCCCCCTCAGGTTTAGTCTGGAGCCGCGCCTGCGGGTGATGAGCGAGTGGGTGGCGTTTTGGAAATTTGTCACTCCTCTTTCATCCTCGTCCCCAAAGTATTTTCATCGTGCCGGAAAAGTTTCCACAAAGTGTGCATCTGGTTCCAACATGCTGCTTTCCAGTGTTTACAGCCGCATCTCCTGGAGTCTTACATTCGAGGACTAGTTTTTTTTGGGAAGCTCTCAGCAAAATATCATATCTAGTTAAAGTTTTGCGCAACTTTGGGTGCTACATTTAACAACAAGAGCTGTTTTACAACTGCTCTATTTAGTGCTGCATTCCATGTTTCTCAGCAATTTAAAACATGCATCTCCAAAACATAATATACATCCTGACAAAAGTGGTAATTTTATTACCTGGGCGGCTTAGAATTCAAACCAGCGAGGTGAAAAATTCAGACTGCCATTAGTCCGAAAATTCAGACTACCTGGTAGTCGTAAAATTCAAAGTACATGCTAGTCTGAAAATTCAGACGACAGGTGGTCCAAAAAATTTAGAGTACCGGGGGCTGAAAATTCAGACCACTGGGTTTCAAAATTGACTTTATCCTAAAAAGTCTGAAAATTTCGACT